TGACAAAGTCTGTCAATGTAGTCTGAGTTGTAGGTCAACTTGAATGGGTTTGTGATCTGTAATCCTTTTGGATCTTCTCTGCTTTCTTGCACTTCTGCAGAAACTTGATGTCTGTGTCAATATGCACGATCTTCTTGGGAATCCTCTCCACTTTGAGCCAGCAGTTCATGGTGTTGATCGTAGCCATGATGTGGAGGTGCCGGAGTTGGACTGGGGTGGACAAAGTCAGAAGTCCAACAGGTTTATTTGGAATCAGACAGGCTTTCGGAGCGCAGCCCCTTTGTCAGGTGCAGTGAGAGAGCAGGGCACACAGACAGAGAATTTTTGGTCAGAGAGATCCAGAGATCATACAACCGGTGTGATGGCAGTGTCAGATAATAAGCCTCTGCAGGTGACCAAGAGTGTTAGATGGTGAGTAAAATATTTATAAAGTCAGTGTCAGTGCTGTGCTAACATGGCAATCAGGCAGAGCGATAGCAATATACAAAAGGTGACATCTCAGGTCAGACACTGAATTGAGCTATGAGGCCTTATTCAGAATCTGTCTCAGAGTTTTAACATGGAATCAGGCTGATTGTATTCCGAAAGCAGGAATTTATAATATGCCACACTGACTGACTGTGACTACAAATTGTGTGTTTTTTGAACAAAATGGAATGTATCTACAAAAAAACAAACATCTTGGATGAAATGATTCACTCCATAGATTTGTGTGTGTATGTCTGTGTGTGTGTGTCTGTGTGTGAGAGACTGTGTGAGAGTGTGTGTGTGAGAAAGTGTGTGATAGTGTGCGTGAGAGAGTGTGACAGTGTGAGTGTCTGTGTGTGTGAAAGAGTGTAAAAAGTAATTCAAAACTGTACAAACTAATTAAGGTAGAGAGGTCATAATGATTTATCAAGGTGATGCTGTCAAAACAGGAAAGTAAGTAAGATTTTACAGATACAGAACAACGTGGTAGCATCACCTGTAGCGCAACATGAACCCAAGATCATGGTTGAAGCCTTCAAGGATACAGAACTTGGCTATCCGCCTCTGCTTGGCAATTCTGTGTTGTTGTGTATATCTCGGAGTCTGCCTTGGAGGACGCTTACCCGAAGTTCGGAGCCTGAATGCCCTTGACCGTTGAAGCATTTCCCAACTGGGAGGGAACATTCCTGTCTGGTGATTATTGTGCAGTGTCCATTCATCCGTTGTCATAGCGTCTGTATGGTTTATAAACACTTTACTCGCCCTCTAACATTCTTGGTCACCTGCAGAGACTTATTACCTGACACTCCACTCACACCAGTTGTATGATCTTTTGATCTCTCTGCTCCTGATCTCTCTGCCTATAAACTCTCTGTCTGTGTCTTCTCCTCTCTCACTGTTGAAGGGGCTGTGCTTCGAAAGCTTGTGCGATTTCAACTAAACCTGTTGGACTATAACTTGGTGTCATGTGACTTTTGACTTTGTGCACTCCAGTCCAATGCCGGCAGCTCCACATCACCTCGTACTCACTTACTGGGATGGTAACGTCACGTGCAGCAAATCCCATAGCAGCAGTTTGAGGTTTCGGGGTGGTGGTGAGGATGTTGTTCTCATCTCCAGTATATGTTTCTGCAATGTGGGGCTCTCTTCTGAGCGTGTGAAGTCAAAGAATTCTGTGGCTTTTTGATACTGTAAGTTGCACATATATATCGTGAACCTGTATCCAGTTATATGCCTGTAGTTCAGTTATTGGTCAGTGGCTCACCATCTACTACTGAAGGACGATTGTATTACAATAATTCAGTGTTAGCCCTTATATCAGTATGCTAGCATTTCTGTTGTAGGTTGCATGGTCAAAGAGGTGTAATACAGCCATGTGTGGTATAAAATAGCTGTAAAGCACTTCTAAGGTCTTTGCAAACACTAGTACAGTATGCAACAATGAATACTTTGGAGCCTGTATATTTGAGCCAGCTTCCTGATGTGCATTATTATTGTGGATCATCTTTACAGTTTTCTTAAGATCTGTTATTTTCTTAAGAATCTGTCTATTAATACTGAAAGTACTAAAGGCAGTATTGAACCTGTGTGCTATTTTCTACATGGGAAAGGTGTACATGGGCTCAAGCAGGGAAACCCTCTTTACTTCCATCTTATACAGTAGCCCCTTCACTTTCATGTGTCAGTCTTCAACCTGATTTGTACATACAGCTGGTTTATAATGATTTAATTGCTTACAATACTCCATTAAAATGTTGATATGGGTGCCTAAACAGTTCAGCACATTCCTACTAATTCTGTTTCCTGCTTTCATGTTTGTTTTGCTATTCAGTGCTTTTTATGTTACCTATTCCTGTAGTCCACAAATATTTTGGCAACCAAAGTATCCATGATGTCACAGGTACTGTCCTGTCTTTAAGTGACGGCCTTTGTTTGACATTTCACATAGCTTTCCAAGAACATGTCCAGAACCAGGGGTCACAGTCCAGAGCCAGGGGTCATAGTCTGAGGATTTGAGGTAGACCATTTAGGATGGAAATGAGGTGAAATTTTTTCACCCAAAGAGTGGTGAGCCTGTGGAATTCATTACCGCAGTTGATGCCAAACATTGAATGTATTCAAGCAGTAGCTAGATATAGCACTCGGGGTGAATGGGATCAAAGATTATGGAGAGAAAGCAGATTTGAGCTATTGAGTTGGATGATGAGCCATGATCGTGAATGAATGGCGGAGCAGGCTAGAAGGGCTGAATGTCCCCTTCCTGCTCCTATCGTCTATGTTTCTATATTTCAAAGGATACTAGAACCCCAAATATTCCTCCCAGCACCCACTTCCTGGATTCCTGAAGTCTCTGGGCTGTTGAATTTTCAGAAATGCATATCAGATGTGTTAAAGATAAATTGACTGATCCTGCACTCCCAAGAAAGAGCCAACATAGGAGGATAATAGGGTTGTATCTATAGAACTGTACTTAGTTCAGAAACTACTGGATTGTTGTATTTGAGATTCTATTCCAGTGACAATAGAGTGCTTGAATCAGTAAATGCAATAACAGTCAGCAACAGGGAGAAACGGGGAACTACTAATGTAGAGGTCTGGAATAATATGCCTAAGACCCAATTCAAATCCTACCACAACACTTGGGAAAATAAATGAATTAGCAAAGGAGGATTAATCTCAATAACAGTGAGCATGGAACTACCAGATTAATGTGAAAGCCCATCTAATTCATAAAATCTTCTCCCCTTACCTGGTCTTTCTGATGTGTGACATTTTTTTTGTCCTCTGAAATGGTCCAACAAGCCACTCAATTGTTTCAGACTACTACAGAAAAGTCAAATAACACTGCAATATTGCACTTGAAGCAGGCACAAAAATAGGTAAACATCGGTAGTATTTGGTCATGATGATCCGAGTGTGCAGGAGAAAGGACATGGTAACTATGACATACAAGGTGTCCCTACTGAATTGTACGGGCTTTCAAAATTAGTAGGATTGCTTTCAGGTGAAACCTAATACTGTAGACCTATTGAGGAACTACTTGCTTCCTTGGACTAAGCATTGGAAGATATTTTGAATAAATCTGTTCAGAGATGTTATTACACTCCTCTGGAGCAGGTGGGAGTTGAACCCAGGCCTCCTGACTTAGAAGTAGAGACAATATCACTGCACCACAAGATCCCCAACATAGCATTAGAAAATATCCTGGGTTGATTGAACTCACCTGCCATTTATCTTCAGATTAATTTTTATGCTTTATGCAGCATCAACATAAATGAACATATTAATCAATAAGAAACAACCACAAAACAGTATTCATCTAAAACCATACTTGGAAAAAAATAGAGTGAAGGATGATTTATTACTAAATCATTAGTTTCGACATCTAATCTTAAGCTATTTTCATGGATGAACAAATTATGAAATGTTGGTGATGCAGGAATGAAAGCAATGTGTTTATTCTGATAATTTAGTCAGTGTAATGAGGTTGCAGAATAAACAGAATGAAGATCTGTTGAACAAAACTTCTGACCTTATGTAGAGTGATTAGTGAACTCTCAATTGGCCAAATCATAAATGCTGGTAAATTACACAGGTGAAGTTACACAGCTGGAATATAGCGTCTAATGAATTTTCAAAATCAGGTAAATTCAATAATTCCAGTCTTGAGGCGAGTTCAATGGAGGCATAAGTCAAAGGAATAATATTGCTGTCCTACTTTCTGACTGCACAACCCTTTGAATATGGCTGAATTTTCAAAGCATGGGGTAACTGAATTACAATGTTAATACTTATATTGTACATGGAATCATTCACTAAACACTAACTTATTAAATAATTAAAAATGTTTTAAAAAAAAAATTTGCTACAACAATGCACTTACAATTTCACTCTACTTAAGTGCCCAGAGGAAATATTTTCCTTAAATGCTACCAGGCTTGATTTACTTGTTGTTGAGAGCAATACCAATTCTGGTCAGACTTTGAACGTTGTCTTTGTGTCTACGTGGATTTCCTTTGGGTGCTCTGGTTTCCTCCCGCTGTCCAAAGATGTACAGTTTAGGTGGATCGGCCATGTTAAATAGAACAAATAGTGCAAGCCATGGGAAATATGAGGTTACAGGGATAGGGCTGGGGAGGTGGTGGTGTGCCTGGGTGAGATACTCTTTGGAGGACTGGTGTGGACTCGATGGGCCAAATGGCCTGTCTCCACACTTTAGGGACTCTATGAATCTATAATGTAAAGGTTGTGTGTAATATTTTCTGCATTGAGACTTCCTGTAATTAGAATGTGATGTGAAGTCATTTCTAAAGAATAACTATTAACATAACTTTATATATAAACAGCATTAGATGGCATATTTTTCTAAATTACTACAAAGCAAATATTGTTGTTCTAATGTTAAACATTACTAAACACTTTATTGAGCTGCAACACCACCTCCAATTCCAAGTATTTTATTTGAATAGTTTTAAATATGTGTTGACTCTGGATGCTTGTTATTGTATGTAACTGTGCTATATGTCTTCCAGGTATTCTGGAGAACTCAAAGATCACTCCTATATTATTGCACTTTTTACAACTTGCTTCATTATGCCCTTATTGCTTATATTTGTATCTTATGGAAAACTGATGAGGCGACTAAGGAAGGTAAGTTCCTGTTCATAGATTATTCCACTCTTCTGTATAATCTCTAGAATCTCAGTTTAAACACTACTTTATTAGAGAAGTATTATTAGCTTAATGATCTATTGCTCTTGAGCCACTTACTGTAAAGCTGTAAAACATGTTGTTTCATAATTTAATGTCAGTTTTCTTTGGCATACTTTACTTAATACTGGCAGCAGTTTACAGTTTCGTGTTGAGAGCTAAATTCAACTGCGCAATACAATGAGTTTTATAGGTAGTTACAGCCGTTTCACAGCTACAAAGTCTTGTATTCTGCATTCACAATGTTCTATATTTAGATTGGAAAGGAAAAAGCAAGTTTTTGAAAGCATTCATGTAATAAAAACTAACTTTTAAAATTGTTTGCTTCTCAAATTGGTGTGACTAAAAATAGGCAGATATTTATGACACAGCAGTTCCTATACTGTATAATGCAGCTGACCTGTAATATTTTCTTGCTATAGGTAGCAAATACTCAAGGGAAGTTGGGAGCTGCAAGAAAACCTGAAAAGCAAGTCACCAGGATGGTTATTGTCATGATAGTGGCATTTCTCTTCTGCTGGTCCCCATACTCAGTTTTCTCCATAATGGTGACTATTTGTCCAACCATTGAGTTAGATCCAAGGTTAGCAGCAATACCAGCCTTCTTCGCAAAAACTGCAACCGTTTATAATCCAATCATTTACGTGTTCATGAATGGACAGGTATATTTTTATTATTTAATTCTAATTTATAATGTAGCAATGAAAATGTTGAAATTTATTGATGATAATAGCCTACGTAGATAGCAATGACAAGCTGATATACAGATTCGCAAATTGTATTGATTGAACTGCTCTGCAATGATTGCATTAGTTGGCATAAATGTTAAACATATTTTGCCAATTCAGCAGAAAAATCAGATTAATCTTTGCAGTGCAATGTTTTCACAATTGTCACATGTCACCATACTGCTGATCAAAACTAGTGAAACACATTTAGGCTAAATAATCTGATCTCCAGATCATTAGAAACTGGACATATAACTGAATGATGTATATCAGAACCCAGCAGACAGCCTGGGAAGTTTAAACTTGACGGGCAATTCCCCTTCTTCCTGTGACTCTCCATTGATGTCTTTGGCTCAGAGTTAGGGTTATATATCTTGGACCAACGGACTTACCTGGCTTGTTGCCCAGGAAATGTCAAACAAGTTAAAATCTAGTCTAACAACTGAGTTGGTGTACAACTGATCTCCCTTATCACCTCCACGACTATCCCTGAATCTTGACCTGGCCAAACCTCTACCCCCACTGACCTGGCTACTCCCTGACCACCCCTCCTGATCCCACAACACTTCCTGCCTGAGTACACACTTTCCCACCCCAGCCACCTACTCATTCATTCACACCCACATTCAGATTAGACACTTTAACTATCCCAGTCAGCAGTTAGTGCTGTTTAAAGGGCATACACCATATCCCTCTAAGTCTACTCTGATAGAACTCCAAGGGATGCTGTTCTGCACATTTTTTTTTGATATCCAGGATCAAAAAATCCCAGGAGAAATGTGCAGCAGTGCAGGTCAGAGGTATGTTTAAACAGAGTGACAATTGGACCATCATTGTTGCTAAATGTAAGATCCCGGTTATTAGTAATATAAATTAAATTCATGAAAGTATTAAGTCCAATTAGACAAATAGTCAAATAAAACAAACAAAAAACTACATTTCCAAAGTGCGATTTGTAATCAATTATTTCTAAAAATGGACATGAATCAGTGCATATGGCAATTGACAGTATTTGCTCAATATTGAAGTAGATTAATTTATTAATTTAGTTTTGCTTCCATGAGAAAAAAAATACTAGATAGGCTTGAATGTCTTCAGCAGAACTCACTCAGTCATGTACTTTATAGTGTAGCTGCTAATGTTGCTCAAAGTTAATTGAGCAATGTATATCCAATCCTTTAATTCCAGATGATGCCTTATGCTAATATTCATGTTTTTACATGAAAATATGGAGATTAGCACTGGTAGACCATGCCAAGATTAGGTGAAGGTGCTGCTCAACTTCCATGGTGGACTTCTGAATTTCCAGTGGTGCCACAGATCTAAATTGTGCACCTTATGCATCATTTTAGGATATGTCAAGTCACTTAAGTACAAACATACACAGTCTCTGTAGACAGCAAATCCTACTGAGTTGACTGAGATAATCTTTTTCATCTCTGAGTTTACAGTAAAAGAGCAGCACAAATTTGTTCATATAGTACTACTCCTAACAGTACCACAAATTATGCCAATTTCTCCTGGACGCCAGCTATGTCTTGAATAATATCAATGAAGAAAGCTGCCTGGACTGTGTGGGTTCCAAGCTCCGGTGCTGCCTGTCCCCAGGACTTGAGATTCACTATGTGAAATGCATGAAGAAGTGCTTTCCCCCGGCAAGCAATGCAGTTGTACACCTTCTCCAAAGGCACATGATGCATGATACCTCAGATCTGAAAGTAGATGTCATCAAATGTACTATTCAGCATTATTGTGCTTCAGGTGTTGTATTGCCACTTTGCAGTAATGTTTAAATAAAACTGAGAAAATCTTCCAATTATACGGAATTGCAAAGTAAAATTGGGATTGCCAGCAAAAAGATTTAGGTTGCTAGAAACTGAAGCTTTGTAAATGGTACTTATGAAAATTCACATTCATTGTATTTTGTTGTATTTTGCTTGCTTTTAATGGCAGATAAAATAAAATGTAGGCAGTTTGAAAAAAAATGTATTTTCTAAGAGTTAAATTTCTAGGATTCAATTAATACCGCAAGATATTGAAATATGAAACACAATTTTGCAAAATTAGAAGCTATAATCCAACAATCATGTGATGGATGATACATTATAGCAAGCATAATTGCAACCTTAACTTTTCATATTAAGTTTAACTATAAAGGAACACAATCAAGCTGTTTGAGATCTGAGAGGGAGAAAAATTTGAGACATTTTATTTAAAGATGAAATCCAGAATGAAATACTCATTGATATTTTTGTTAGAATATTTAATTTATAAACATTTTACTTATTTGTATCCAGTTTAGGAAATGTCTCCTTCAAATGTTCAGCCTCAGTGAACCCGAAATCAACCCAACAGCAGAGCATGCAATGCAAGCAAGTAACAATAATGAGAGAGAAATGTCCACCATTGCAACACGGATGACTTCTTACTGCAATACAGCAATGAAACCCAAAGAAGGAAACAAACATGACAACTTTGCTCAGCTGCCAATTCCTGAGAATGAAGCTTACCTACTGTAAATACAAAGGAAATGTAACATTCTATATCTAGTTAGAGTATTCAATCATTACACATTGTGACCATATGAAAATTGGTGTGAATTGAATGCAAACTGGGAGCTTTCAATATTCTTTTCTATTTCACTGACCATGGAAATAGTGAGCCTCAGATAAATGATTGAATGATCATGCTCAAGAATAACACCTAAATATGCCATTGGCTATATCATAGAGAATTGTGTCAAATTTAGTTTGTAAATCACAAATTCAAATGGAGATGTAATTCACAACAGATTTGGAGTTATTTGACTGAATTGATTACTTGTATATTATACAAGCAAGTATGTTCCAAATCAGTGACTATGATTTGTAAATCTTCTCAGTTTTGAAAATAGTGATTTTTTTTAAAAAAAAATTACTAATGGGAGGTCTCTGGCTGACCAGCATTTATTTCCCATCCAAGTTGTTCTTGAGAAGGTGGTGGTGAACTGCCTTCTTGAACCTCTGCTGTACGTTGACCCACAATGCCGTTAGGGAGAGAATTCCAAGATTTTGACCCAGCGACAGTGAAGGAACAACAATATATTTCCAAATCAGGAAGGTAAGTGACTTGGAGGGGAACCTGCAGGTCGCGATGTTTCCATGTAGCTGCTGCCTTTGTCCTTCTAGATGGAAGTGGTCATGGGTTTGAAAGGTGCTGTCTAACGATCTTTGGTGAATCTCTGCAGTGCATCTTCTAAATTATACACACTTCTGATGCTGAGTTTTGGTGGTGGAGGGAGTGGATGCTTGACTTTTGGCACCAATCAAGTGCCCTGCTTTGTCCTGGATATCACTAAGCTTCTTGAGTGTTTTTGGAGCTGCACCCATCCGGGCAAGTGGAGAGTATTCCATCACACTCCTGACTTGTATATTGTTGATGATGGACTGCCTTTGAGGAGTCAGGAGGTGAATTACTTACCACAGTATTCCTAGCCACTGACCTGTATTTATGTGGGGATTTCAGTTGATTTTCTGGTCAGTGGTAATACCAAGGATGTTCATACTAGGGAATCCAGTGATGGCAACACCATTGAATGTCTAGGGGCTGCGGTTAGGTTGTCTCTTATTGAACATGGTCATTGCTTTGTGTTTGTGTGTCAGAGTCGTACAGCATGGAGATAGACTCTTTGGTCCAACTTGTCCATGCCGACCAGGTTTCCCAAACTAAACTAGTCCCATTTGCCTGTGTTTGGCACATGTCACTCACAACTTGTCAGCCCAAACCTGGATATTATCCAGATCTTGTGCATTTGAACATGGATTGCTTCAGTATCTGAGGAGTCACAAATGGTGCTAAACATTATGCAATCATCAGCGAACATCCCCACCTCTGACCTTATGATGGAGGGAAGGGGTGGATTTGAAAGTGTCTTGCCTTATAGACCAAACAAACAAATCTCCTGGCTATGATATTATTTTATAAATGAATCTTAGAGATCAGAAACAACCTAAAGATAATTGCTATCTCATTTATACACTCTGAACTCAGGATGACTGGAACCCATAATTGCATACTTTGAGAATTTTGGGGTGGAATTTTAGTACTTTGCCCAGCTGGTTGTGTAGGAGTCTGGTAGTGCATTTGTCAGTGACTTTTTAACCCAACTGTTACATTGGCACCTGGCTTCCTGATTATTGATCGTGTGTGAGCATTATGATCTTTCAGCAGAACTATTTGGAGGACACTGTGGAGATTAGGATTGAAGGATTGTGTGGGAAGGAGACCAGATGATGTAACTTGATGTACTGATGGAACGTCATCAAAGAAATGTAGTGTGTAAATTCACAAATGCCTCCCGAGACCTGATGCTAAAGCATGCAAGGATATATGTGGCTCTACACTGTGGACAGAAGGAAGCAAGCCTGCATGAAAGATCAGAATGGCTGGAGATCTCAGAGGAAATTAGCAGCGAGTGTTTGGTGCCATGGTCCTGGCTAAAGTGGCAGAAATAGTTTAACGATCTAACCAAGGCAAGAATGGTAAGTACAATGACACATTCAACTAGACCCTAATGTCCAGATTTTGCCTTAATAAGCTCCTGTGAAACACTTTGGACATTTTATTCTGTTAAAGATGCAGGTTTTTGACATCTAAATTGATACCCCAACCTCTTCACTCTACTTTCTCAAGTTTATCACAGTACACTACTCTTCTTACCAATGAACTTTACAGGAAAACCCAACCCTTGCTCGCATTTCCATCTTATCATCTAACATTTACTCTCATTTTAATACAACATCATGCCTAGTCTCATATGGAGTCTCAGCGAATGTGATCCAATATCTATACAACATACTACATCATCCTCCTCATAGGTTTTTTCATGCCCTTACAGGAAAAGAGCACATGGAACACGTGGATCTAGGGAATCAGAGGTGACCCTCCAACCATCTTATTACTGACAGCTACTGAAGAGTATCACTGGAGATTAGCTGAGTGTCGCCATCAGAGATAGCTAGTAACAGAATCACACAACCTCATGGAATGCAGCACTTGGTCACATTGACTTGGCATCATCAACCACTTGAGTACACAATGTTCACTTGACACCTTCTAACCTTGACACTTTTAATTTATGTCTTTCATCTCCCACAGGCCCATCAAGTGTCCTGCAGGAGGTGCAGGAGGAATATGAAGAGTTCTCAGAGGAGGTCACTCACACAGAGGGTGCACTGACACAGGACTTGAGAAGATTATGAAACAGCTCCCAAATGCACAGTTCAGTGAAACTGGGAAGAAAAATGGTTGGGTTTTCATCGGCATCTTACGCATTACAACAGTAAACTGCAGAGAGAGAGGTAGCAGTGAAGAATAAAATGCTCGAAGCTTTATTCCATAGAAGTGCAGAGTCTCAAGCCATCAATGTAGGGGGTAATTGGGAAGCAGTAGCAAACAAAAATAGGTATAGGCAGGTATTCTAGCTACACTGCATATTGCACTTAGAGAGAGAGAGAGATTGCAGCAGACAATGTCCAGTAGGGTGTCATGATGTCCCAGAACTTTGCAGAGATGCCCTCAGAACTTTGCAGAGATGCCCTCCTGAAGACAGTCGCCACTAGCATGCAGCATCAAACATGGCAGCCAGCTAATACAAGCAACCACATGACAGAGAGCATAGCTGGCAATGGTACATGTGGCAGGAGCGTAAATAGAGCATGAGTGAAGGCTTAGGTCACAGACTTTTGCAGAAGCAGTTAAAGGAATCTGTTAAATTTGGAAACATCAAAGCATAAAGGGTAGGGGGGTCTCACAGAGCAGCATACAGGTGACTGATTAATCAACGTCTTTTGTTTTATGTCAGGGCGGTGGCTTAAAGAAACAAATGCAGTTAGCTTTCTAATAAATAAATGTAGTGGCACAAGGGAGATAGAGATTCAATAATAATAGGGACTCAAGAGTTAGGTGACCATAGTGAATATTACCTGTCTGGGATCACAATATCATTGAATAGGACTCAAATATTGTAGAGATAGTTGGGGGTGGAGGGGGTTGGTGACACGAGCGTGAACAAAGCTCATGGTCCATGCAGATACCAATGCCATTTGTAGAAACAGAGATACCTGCACTCAGATTATAAGGAGCTAGGAGAGAAATTCATAAACAGATCCTTAAAGATGCCAATTTCTTGATTATTCCTGGTGCCATGTGCTTTTCAGTATGGAAGTAAGGGGATAATTTAGATGAATGTGTAGCTTGATTCAAGGGGCAGGTGCTTTACATTCCGGCAATATTGAGACAGGCTCTGGGATATGTGAGGCATAGATTAGCCAGATGGATTGCACCTCAATTCGACTGGGCCAATATCATGGCAGGGAAGTTTCTTGGTGCAGCTGGGATAACTTTAAACTAGCCTGGCAGTAGGTTAGGAACAGCAACAAATACAACCAGAATAACTTGCACGTCGATGCTTGTATAAGTGACAATGTTCACTGAATAAAAAGTTCTGAATAGGGGAAATGTCCAAAGCTGTGGTGTGATTTGGCAAAAGTGGAAGCAAAGCATTTGTCATAAATTAAATCAATAACAGGGGAAAAAAATGACATTCAAGGAAAAGGTAGTGAAGGTTCAGAACAGACACATTCCCTCAAAGGAAAAGGGTGCAGTTCCCTATTCTGACCACCCTGGACATCAAAGAACATAAGGAAGAAGATAAAGCTTATGGCAGATACTGAGACATCCCCTCCTGAAGAAAGATTAAAGGAGCATCAAAAGTGCAGAAGTGAAAATAATAAGGACATTTGGAAAGCAAAGGGATATCATAAAAAAACCATAGATTCAACAAAAAGTCAAAGACGTTTTGTAAATACATAAAGAGTAACAGGATAACAAAGGAAAGCATAGGGTTGATGAGAAATCGAGAGTGGCAATTTGTGAAGCAGAGGATATGAGCATGAATTTTTAGTTTTCACAAAAGAAGAGGAAATGCTGCAAAGTTTGTTGAGAGTTAAATATTGGATAACCGGCATTGTGAAGGAGCTCAAAAAGCAAAAAATTGCTAGACTCAAATTAAATGTAGCCCAGGCTGCTTCAGAGAAGCAAGGGATGAAGTAACAGGGTCTCTGATTATAAGTTCCCAACCCTTTCTTGCCACAGGTAGATAGCTGGCGACAGGAAAATTGCTACATCTTCTGTTATATAGAAAGGAGAGAAGGGATAAGTTGAGGAATTTCAGGCTCATCAGCTTAACCTTAATGAAATCTAAACCTTAAATTCTGAGGATTCAGAAAATACTGTCATTTGGAAAGATATAACTGAATTAAGATCAGTCAGAATGGATTTGTTAAGGTCATGTCTGACTAACTTAGAGTTAGTAATAGAGGTGGTAACATGAGGATTGGTAATGATAGAATGTCTGATGAGGTTTGATCATGGATTTTGAAAAGGCATTGGAGAAGGTGCCACATAGTAGATTGGTTAGTTAAACAATTTCTCAGAGTCCAAGGGAAATAACAACAATCCAAAATGGACTCAGTGGCTATAAGCAAAGGGTACAAGCAATATTTATTTTTATGGAAGCCTGTTTCTAGTGGATGCTGTTAGGACCAGAATTAGTTCCCTAGCTTTTCATGACTTAAATATTAAGAAGTTTGCAGATGGTGCAATATTTGAGGAAGAGAGCTGCAGACTGCAAGAAGAAAACAATGGATTTGTCAA